TCTCTTAAAGTAAACGTCTTCAACGGATTTATTTAGAGCATGTACTAAGTCCAAGATGCTCTTAAGGATCCGTATCCACGCCCGTGCCATGTCGACTTAATTAATACCCAAGTGGACGTGCCCGGATTACAAGTTCATCCAGCCAGCGGATCTTACAAAACTTATCAAATTTGTTTTGGGTTCTGTGTTTCGTTCCTAACTGCTAGTATTCTGTTGTAAGAGGTCGAACGTGTGCGCAGCTAGTTAGCGCCCCACAGTTAGCACCGGCTTCAAAATGGCACAACGAATTCCCTTACCCACTTGTTTCTTTCACTATTTACAAAGAATTAACATTTTGTTTCAGCCGTGTCCTTATCACAACCGATCTTTGGGCTCGTGGAATCGATGTACAACACGTGTCCATGGTTATCAACTATGACCTGCCCAATAACCGCGAGTTGTACATTCACCGCATCGGTCGATCTGGTCGATTCGGACGAAAAGGTGTTGCCATAAATTTCGTGAAGAACGAGGACATTCGTATCCTTCGCGATATCGAACAGTACTACTCCACACAGATCGACGAGATGCCAATGAATGTGTCGGATCTAGTGTAACTTTTCTTCGCTGGCTTTGTACATACATTGAACCGAACTTTTACCGTTTTTTCTGCTGTTCTGTACAACCCATTGCATTATTTCCGAGGTACTGTCTAATACATTTCACTCGGTTTCCAGATTTACTTGACTTAGTGAACACAGCGGCCAGCTAAATATCGTTCTTAACACCTATGCCTAACGTGCGGGGTGACATTTCCGTGTCCCACCGCAGAATTCCCTAAGCGAAGAGTCGCGAGTAGAATGTGATGCTTTTATTCGCCCGTGGAAGTGGTCTGCGACCTCAGTTTATGCGACTGAGTATCTTTTTTAGGCATTACGCCTTTCAGGTTACCACTCAGGAGTTATACCATAATTACCTACCAGCGTTGTTTACATAACGTACTTCGGTCAGTGGATTATGGAAACGATAAGAGATTTGTCTTGTTTACAACAAGCATCCAGGGGTCGCATATTCGTGAAAAGAAATTTCCTCCTGTCGTGGACGACTGCACAAGCCACAAAGGCGACTTAAGGTGAGTTCCACTCTTAGATAGACGTTAAGCCGGTTGTAGTTCTCGAACTAATCAAGTAACAATCAGCTTCCGATTGAAAACAAGTACTCGGGCGGAAATATCTGCTATTACTGAAATATTGCTAGTATTATCAGCTCTATCTATGGCCAATTACCGAAAGAGCGTTAGGTGGCAAGAGCCAAGTATTGGTCATCTGACGGTAAAAACATGATAAGCTTTTATTTCTGAAGACGATTTCAAAATATACAAAGCATGTCAGTTGGGGGAATGGTAAATCGTGTCGGGCGTTGATTAGGCCTCACGCTGATGTTGGGAGTCATACTCGAAGGCCACGAGACCGGGATCCAAACTGTACAAGTGAAGCAAGCTCTGGGCAGCTGCCTACAAAACGGTAATGGTAAGAAGTGGTGATGAGTTACTAGAAGAAGGCGTGAGGGGCGCGGAGGCATTGTTTACACCAAAAGACTTGTGGAAAAGCGTTAAAGCATCGAAAATACCTGGAACCATCTCGACAATTCAGTAACTATCCGTCGAAGAGATAGACGAGCAGAAACAGATGCTGGGCATATGGCTGTTAGGAAATTTCGAAGCAGTCTAACAGTCATCCGAAATTAGGTGAATTTGGTGATAGCGGTAAGTAGGTTGGGAATCCACAACGCCTACGCAGATGGGGCGTACACGCCAAATGTAATTGGATTGATTTAACTCAATAGATAAAACCATCTTAGTTGATGAGGGCGGGTCACCGACTGTTTCAAACGCCAAGCAGTCATCGAGAGGGTAAAATAAGGTTAGTGTTTTATAACTTAGGGTTACCTTGTCCTTGTCTTCCGCAAAATGGGGCTGGTCCTGGAACGAGACCACTAATACTTTCCTAAGTCCTCTTAGGTCAGGCGAATTTCCATAGGGAAAATCTAATTCAGTTGATCATATAAATGGCACCCATTAGGGACGTGCATCGCAGTAAATGCGCACGTGACATGCATGATACCGGTTTCAGTGTCGACTCTTAAGCCGGGAGCGGCTGATCCTAGCAAAAGGCAGTGTCAAGGCACTGCACCGGAATAAGCAATCTAGCGGATAGTGCTGTGTCGCGAAAAAACAACTACCCTGGGGGAAAAAGTTCCCGCAGGCTGCTACTGCCACAGGGGGGGCTTGATTGTGGTCTAATATTCGCCTAGCGCTGTAATCTTTCGATCATCAGCCACCGCACTTT